CGAGAAGACGTCGGCTGATTGTAGCAGTCGATATTTTTTTAATTCTAGGACTAGTACGATTTACTTTTTTACACATTGTGATGAATTAGAAACGACGACTACGACAAACTCGAATTTCAACGTGCCGCCATGTTGGGTCTGCAGTGTGACCTTGACGTATTTCCGCGCCCACCTCATTATAATATGTGCATCATGAATATTTAATAGCAATGAATTTCCTGCAGAATAAACCAGTCGGGGTGATTTCGCGCTAACACCTCCATTTCGCGATTTTTTAAAATTTTTATTTAAACTACAAAAACAAATTAATCGCCTTGACTGAACTAAAACTGTTGATTTGCAGCAAACACAGATCCGCTTTTAGCAATGCACATTTCAATTTTAAAAATTAAAGATATCATTAGAAAATGAACAAATCAGAGAAAAGGTCCACAAGTAGTACCTATATGTAGAATATCAAGGCAATCGGACTCGAAAATATAACTTTTTTCCAATATTCATCAAAATTATAGAATTGAATATATCATCACGAAATGAACAAATCTGAGAGAGGTCTACCCAAGGTACATATACACCAAGTATCAAATTAATCAGGCTTGTAGTTTTCAAGAAGATTTCATGGCGACAGACGACGACAGACAATCACAGATATATATGATAAGCTCTGCTCGACAAAGTCGACAGCAGAGCTAATACAATTTCACAGATTCAAATGGGAGAAAGAGGTGCAAATCTAAGAAAATTATTTAAAAAATTATGTTTTGATTTGTGTTGGTCTGAGTGGGGGTAATTTTAGTTTTCAAATTTAAAATATACGGACGTATATATCACATATTTAAAAAGTGTGGAACTTGGTAAATTAAAAAAACATATACTGGGTATTGTAAAAATATACAAAACAAAAGCCATATTATCACAAACAGTAATAATCCCGCTACCTTTAATTGCCCACATTTTCAATTCATAACTTACCGGATCATATAATCGCCCAACACGAGGTCGTCTATGAATATCCTTAATCATGGTCTTCATATCAGGAAGATTGAGACGTCCACTTAATAGTCTGGCACTCCAACGTGATTGAAGTTCTAGAACATTAAATGCTGCTGGAATAAACTTTAACAGACTTCCAATTATCATCAGCGTGTTATGTTTCAATCCCAATGGCAGTATGTATCGATAAAGATTCAATTTTTCAGTTTCATCTGAAAAAAATTCAAAAAGAAATATACCATGTTTACTCTATTAGTAAAGTGCATTTCAAATAGATTTATAAATGACTTGTAGCAGAGATCGATGACGTCAAACCAAAAAATGCTTATGGCATAGTTTTCCCCCATATAAAAAGAAATGGAACACTGGAATAAGTAATAACACATTTTTCTGAAACGGTATTCCTGTTTTTGATACTCACCAAAAATTAATGTTTCATCAATAATGGGATACGATATCTCGTATCCGGTAGCCAAGATGATAACATCCACGTCATCAATAACGCTGCCATCCATAAACTCCACACTTGTCTCAGTTATCCTGGCTATTTCTGGCACAACATTCACATGGTTGCAAGCAATACGATCTAGTATTTCATCATTTACCATGATCCCAGCAGATTTCTGCATGACAATAGAAAATATGGTAATTACAAACAGTTTATATTATTTAAGAGCATTCAGTGTTTTCCGAGGACAACAGAGTTGCAACAAGTAATAATGAGTATATTATAGATTGTTTGTATACATAAAAATCTTGTTATAGCGACCTGTTTCTATCTTAAGGGTGTGGTTACTGAGTCTAAAATAGTTTCACACATTTCTGGATTTTAGGTCAATGAGATAATTTTCAATTTTAATTTTAATTTTACATTGTATAAAATGCCTGATAATTTCAAAGTATGGGCAACCTCAAATCTACTACATTCAAATTTGCTATTTTAAAATCTACTACATTCAAATTTGCTATTTTCACATCTACGACATTCAAATTTGTTATGTTCAAATCTACTACATTCAAATTTGCTATGTTCAAATCTACTACATTCAAATTTGCTATGTTCAAATTTACTACATTCAAATTTGCTATGTTCAGATCCACTACATTCAAATTTGTCATGTTCAAATCTACTACATTCAAATTTGCTATGTTCAAATCTACTACATTCAAATTTGCTATGTTCAAATCTACTACATTCAAATTTGCTATGTTCAAATCAACTACATTCAAATCTGCTATGTTCAAATCTACTACATTCAAATTTGCTATGTTCAAATCAACTACATTCAAATCTGCTATGCTCAAATCAACTACATTGAAATCTGCTATGTTCAAAACTACTACATTCAAATGTGCTATGTTCAAACCATCATGTCATCAACAGTAGAATGCAAACATATCACTTACTTGTGTTCTTTGGGCTGATCCAGGGCTGTATATAGTACAATGACTGCTCTTGTCCAGTTTATTGTTACCTACGCATGCTGGCAACATTTGGCGTATTCGTTGTGCAAGAAACATAGTTGTAGGCCAACCATCATTTGCAATACGAGGACAAACAATATAAGGACTACGTACACTTAGATAAACCTACAAAACAATTTAGAAATAGAGGAGAATTACCGCACACTATGTCAGAATAAAAAATAAATAATAAAAAGATTATACTATGAAAAACTATGAATGAATAAATGACTGAATGAATGAATGATTGAATTAATGGACTAACGAATGAATGAATGGACAAACAACCGAACAAACAAACAAATAAATGATTGAATAAATAGATAAATAAAATATGAATATATGACACCAAAAACAAAAATTATTGCTAAATTTTGAATTACTATTTTGGTTAAATTATCTAAAATTTACTTTGTGATTCTAAGAGCTACTATTTTCTAAAACTGTCCTTTCAATGGTGTGATTAGAAATATTTGACTATTTTGAACGACACCCATGCTGTCATTTTTGTCGTTTCAAACCATGCATTTCAAATTATGGTGCGAGTTATTTTATTGAGTGTACTTCTACACTGAGTTACATTTAAGAAAGGAATTGAACATGTTTCACAAACCTTACTACAGTAATTACGCCCCAGTTCACAGCTTACTTCACCGGCTGTATTTGACGCACCTGAAAAATTAATGATAGATCCTGAACCCTAATTTACAAAACTTAACTTTTTAACAGCATACACCACCACAATGTTGATGAACAATAACTAAATATTACATTATTTAACGGAACAAAGACATAAAAATGGAAAATCCATTGGTATGCAAATACTGCGTTGACCAGCTATTTATTGGCATGCACATACTGTGTTAAACAATCATCTATTGGCATGCACATATTGTGTTAAACAGTCAGCCATTGGCATGCACATATTGTGTTAAACAGGCATCTATTGACATGTACATTCTGTGTTAAATAGTCATCTATTGGCATGTACATGCTGTGTTAAACAGTCATCTATTGGCATTCACATACTGTGCTAAACAATCATTCATTGGCATGCACATACTGTGTTAAGCAGTCATGATCTATCGGCTTGCACATACTGTGTTAAACAGTCATCCATTAGCGTGTACATGCTGTGTTAATCAGTCATCTATTAGCATGCACATACTGTGTTCAACAGTCATTCATTTGCATTTACAAGCTGTGTTAAACAGTCATATATTGACGTGCACATACTGTGTTAAACATTCATACATTGGAATACACACACTGCGTTAAACAGTCATCTGTTGGCATGCACATATTGTGTTAAACAGTCATCCATTGACATGTACATGCTGTGTTAAAAAGTCATCTATTGGCATGTACAAACTGTGGTAAACAGTCATCAATTGCCATGCACATACTGTGGTAAACAGTCATCTATTAGCATGTATATGTCATGAGCATGTCAATTACACAAACCTAATAGGCACAAAAATCAACCCTAAACTCGTGTCTACGGTTTACCACATACACCCTACATATATGCACCAAATTGTATTGACATCTAACCGGTAGTCGTTCTTGAGATATCAGTAGAACAACTAATTACTATGCAAATTGAGTAATTAATAATAGATCTCAGTCCAAAACTCAGTTCTGCACATTATCCAGAGCATTGATGGTACTAAATTTCATTAAAATAAACAAGGAGCTTTTTGGCTGAGATAGCCTCACTGTTAGCAATGCACATTTCAATTAGAGAATTGAAGATATCATCACAAAATGAATGAAACTGAGAGACGTAACCCCGAAATACCTGTATGTATGATATCAAAGCAGTCGGACTTGCTGTTTTCATTAAGAAGACGAAAATATCATTTTTTACCAAAAATATTCACCAAATTCGGAGAAACAAAGATATCACGAAATAAACAAATCTATGAGAAGTATACCCAAAGTACATATACACCAAGTATCAAAACAATCAGACTTTTAGTTTTCAAGAAGAAGTTGAACAAGTTATAAGGTAACAAGTTTGCCAACGGGCACTGACGGACAATAACTCATGATAATCAGCTTGATGAAGTCAACAGCGAAGCTAAGAATCAAACATACATCTGTATGCATACACACAAAGACTTCTATTATGAGCTTAATACACAAAGGGTAAGTAAAAAAATTGTTTTCATAAATAAATATCTTAAAAAATTATTTACTCACCAACCACTATGACCCTTTTTCCAATAAAGGGAGCAGGTTGTCTGTAGGCATTTCCATGAATTGTAATTCCTTTAAATTTACCCAGCCCTGAGATAGCAGGAATGTGTGGTTTTCCTAATCCACCGCCGCTACACACCATTATACCATCAAACGTTTCCACTGTGACGTCACCACCACCACTGGCACCGTCCACGTATGAGACATCCCATTGTCCAGTAGTTTCATAATCTTTACACATTTCAACTTTGACAACATTTCTGTTGTAATGGATATACTTGCATAATCCAAAATGATTTGCATAATTGACGAGATATTGAGTAACTGCATCATAGGGCAGATACGCTGGGTCTTCTTTTCGGAGTGGAAAATCAGAGAAACATAATGTTTCCTTTGTGTTATTGGAGATAATACTTTTATAGGCTGCAGAGGACTGACCAGGTCTCAGGTCTTCGGTGTAGTACCAAACTCCTCCTGGGGGAGAAACTCAAGGGGTGAGTTGCTGCATTTATTTTGGATACTGTTTTCTTTTGTATTTGAATAACAAAATACTTAACATATGGTAATATGTCAGGTCACATGACCTATACGTCCTCTGCTACGATAGTATGCAAATATACATACTGCATTCTGGGTATATTTATGTACCAGATTTGCTCTGTTAGACCTCAGACAAGTATTACTAGTCTGAAGTTAGACCCTATATTCGGGGTGAACAGTTTCAAAAGTGAATATTCGTGGTGTATTTTAAGTCTAATCGGACCGGAAGTGGGAATTTGTTAGTACTCTAAACATCCAAACATATTCTAGTATGAGGTAGTAACAACTTGTCAATAATTATGGGATTATTTGTAAGCATAAGATTGTTGTGTGAACTTCGTTCATTAATGGAATACTGTGCGATGACGCTATTTTCAGGGCCTAACTGATTCAGACTCCTATATTGACTATGTCCCGGGCTGTTTACTAGTACCAACCTACTTACTTGTCAGTGTCTGACTGTTATATACAGCCCAGAACACGTCAGAATAGTAAAAAAAGTCCGCAAATGTCAGTTGCCCGTGCCATGAGAGCCGGCCACAGAACCAAAACAATCTGTCAGCCTTCGGTATGATTTTACATTGCATAGAAATGAACACTAAATGCAGCTATCCCCGGCCGGTCAGCAATAGAATCATCAATCTTCATGAGTGACGTAACTGGTATTTCCACTTATTTGCTTAGTGATCCGTACGTGAATGTTGTCAAGTTTGAGTGTGTTTTGACGTACAGCGACGTGAACATTATTGCTACAATTTTGAGCTTTAACATGTTACAAAGTACGTGACATATGTAATTATATGCACCAATGATACACCTTAAGGTAGAGATGCAGGTTCGTGGGCACTTGGGAGTGAAATATTTTTTTTTTTTGCTTTTTATTATCCAAACAGTCTTGGCTATAGACTGTTAAAATTTTGTAGAATTGTGAACATACTCAAAAAACGATCTTTAAATATAGATAGCAGGTGCAAACATTCTCTCTTTTGAATACTTAGAAAGATTTAGCAAGGCTGTACATAAATAATAAAAAAGAAACATGGTGAAAAAAAGAAATGACGGGATCTCCATATTATGCACTATATTTAACTTTTAACAAAACGATAATACATTTAAATTTGGAACTGTTACAGCCATTTTAATTATGAGCATTAGCAAACTTCTTACCGAGTGAAGTGTTATGCAAATTAGCAATTATCTCAGCTTCTTTTTAGTGCACTTCCCAGAACTTTAAAAAAAATAGCTCCTAGACGCTTTGGCCTTGTGTTTTGAAATTTTCACAAATGATTGACAATGTGTTTATCTTCAAAACGCCGTCGGACATTGTTTTTGGTTGAACAGTGTTACAACAATCGTACAGACAACTAGCCTGGGTATTAATTTATGCATAAACTTGGAGTAGTGAAATTTGAGCTGCTGCCCTGCAAAATTGACAAATGGTAGACAGTTTTCAAGACGGCACTTTCTTCATAGTAAACAGATGTACCCATAAACCAATTTTGACAGAAAACAGAGACATGGTTTAGAAGCTAATTTTTTAAAAATCACTTTTGACCAACAAAGCAAATTTTTGTGCATATTTCAAACTACAGTGTCCATAAAAAAATACTAACAAAATATTAAAATTCATACAATAAGCTTTCCGAAAATATATAGTTTTGTGGACAAGGGAGGTCATCTTGGTTTCCTAATTAACTAATTAAAATACCTGTCAGATAAATTGCATCTCTACCTTAATGAGAATTAATGATATTTACGAAAATATTTGTTCACAATTTTATAAAATGGCATGAAAATTCCCATCATCTATGCAAATTCACATAATTTTGTTTACTTTGTACGTGTACTATGATTGCATATTTTATTACATAAACACTCAAAATATTTATGATATAACCTGGACAAAAGATTTATTTATTATTATTCCATGCCATGAGACATTTCCCCTATCTGTGTTACTTCATATTTTAGTATAAGGTAGTAAGAATGCGTATACGTTAACTGGGATATATATATCCAAGCTAGTTTCTACTGCAGCCTCTTATATTACTTGACAATAGTCTACAAATATTTTGTAAGTTAACAAATTGGTATACGTTAACTCGGATGTAACAGAAGTAAGTGAAAGTTTCATCCCAGTAAGTAAAAGAACTAAATGTTTTAATTGGTCGTAAAAGGGCTGGAGGAGACGACTTAACGCTTACCAGATATGTCGCGATTTAATAAAATTAAGAAATTTCAATATAAAATATTCCATCGCTGAGAATGATGGGTGTACTTTACGGTTAGTGTTTGTTACGAAAATATTTGTTCACTATTTTATAAAATGGCTTTGTAATTCCCATCACCAAATATATATAATGCACATCATGTTACTACCGGTAATCCAACATCACTCTCGATAATTTTGTTTACTCTGTGTGTGTACTATGGTTGCATTTGAAGTTTTTATCATTTTAATGGTTTGCATATTTACCGGTAGTACATAAAGGTACACTTTACAAAAATACCCATGATATATTAATTATATAATCCATTATACAACCTGGACAAAAGAAAATCTTATTTTTCTTGATATAATGATATATATTATGCGGAAATCCTAGTAAATGAGATTTAAAAAAAAAGGATTGTCACTTGCCCATTAATGTTGTAAGTTGATGATACCTTCAGGTCCTACCTGTTATCCAGAGTATCATGTTGACTATGCGCCGGATCGTTTACTTACTGATCAGTGTAAAATTTGACCGAGAAAAAGTTGGAATAGTAACAAAAAAAATAAAAGTTAGTTGCCCATGTCAAGAAAGCTTACAGAATCAAAATAGTCTGTCAGCTGTTGATGTCCATACCAGCGATATTTTACACATAGAAATTGAGAATTACAATAGCATAGAAATGAAGAATACGAACAGCTATTCCGGTCATCAGGCCATCAATCGAATCATCAGTCTTCATGATTGATTTAAATAGACCCTCTGTCTATGATTTAACTGATATTTCCATTCATATGGTTAGTTGTCAGAGACTGGATGTTGTCAAGTTCGAGAGTGCGTTTTACATACGGCGACGTCAACATTATCGATTACATCACAGTCCCTCAACACTGTGATTACATTAAAAAAGGAAGTGCCATTGTAACTTGAGAGAGTAGAGGACTTTTTATACTGGAGACGTTCCAGTACGGATCCGGGGTTGTTCGATTGGCATATCATTTTTTTTTTATTTGAATAGGGCATGTTCTATATATGTACCAAAATAACAACGTTGCCATGTTTCTAGGCATACAACGAACTTGAAACAAAAGAAATCGTTCGATCCAAACGACATACGTCCTTGGAAATCAAGTCTTATGGCCCTGGTGTTTCCGAGCAAAAATACCAGCGAAGATTCCCGGAGAACCAATATTAATGCTGTATTTCACTTTGATGTTGGAATTGGTGACAAAGGTCTTAACAAATTTTGGGGAATCCGAAAACGTAACTTACTACACGTGAATTTCACGACGAAGTTTTAAACGTTCTGGTTATCTCCGTGAGACAGTAGCCTTTGAAACAAAATTGAGGGACTTTAAAAACGCAATGTATGGCACGACAAAAACTGAATGGAATGGAATGGTGAATGGAAATCAGTTGATTTGTGGGTGTCACAATAAGCGAGGGAGCAAATGGTTTTTACGCTACGAAAAAATGCTGACCTTGAACGTACGTTTTGGACTTTAGTACAACGTAATTTTTGTTTGATTACCTAAGGTTTTTAGGTTCATGTGCTGCAAGTTACAGAGCACATACCAAAGCGGCCGTCCCTCAGCAAATAATGAAGCAAAGGAATTTTCGATGTCGAAATCGCGAAACTCGCCCTTTTTACGCAAACTGGGAAGTTCGAATTACTAAACGAGGTACAGGACGACGAAGCTTAGATATCCAAGAACCAACACATACAAAAAAATTATCTCAAAAGTGAATATTTGTTATGTATTTTACCTCTAACTGGACCGGAAGTGAGATTTTGTTAGTAATCTAAATATCCAAATATATTTTAATATAAGGTAGTAATCAAAAAATCTGACGTGGCGTCTCTGAAAAATGACGACAGACGAACGGACACACGAACGGAACCCAAAACATAAGTCCCTGTTTCGAACTACGTCTGACGGCCACTAAAAAGTTTGTTTCTGGTCAAATTGTTTTTGTCCCCTAGATTATTTGTCGCTGCCGAAATTTTGCAGGTTTACTCAATATGTCAATAGAGGGTGCTGTGCTAAAATAAGTGCAGAAAAGTTCAGCCTGTACCACTGACTTTTTAGGGCTTATGGCAACAAAATTATCGTAAAGTTGAATATGGTCATTATCCGGTGTTATTGTAAAGTTGGAGATTACTTCACTATTTAAAATTTGTCTTGCCATAAAAGACTCCTCGATTACCGTACAAGGGACGCGGCAATATTAACATGGAAGTGGTTGGTAAATAACAAAGTTAATAAGTATCAGAAGCTTTCCAGGAACCTATGGCAGACATACCGAGCTGATCGTCTCGTTCAAAGCAGACTGGTTGCAGATCTTCTTCCAAACAACTTTTGATCGCAGTCAATCCCGACACTCCTGCACCAATAACTAGAATACGCTTTCTTTCTGTCATTGTAAAGATTGTAAATTCGTTAAATTCGATCCAAATCACGGGATCCAAACACGAACAGTTCGGACTCTTTAATAAATAACCTATACGCGTTTTTTAATGCGCATGCTTCATAACCGCCCCCAACGTTCGCACATGACAAAGAATGGCGGGTATTTCGACCTATCAAAAATGACGCATATTTTATTTATAACAATATTTTGTTTCAAAAGTACTACTTTATTTATTTTTTTGCTATAGCCTGTTACATGTTTTACCCGGTAATAATTTAATAAGCATTTTTTAAACAATTTACATAAGAAACCATATAAATGCATTATTCAATGGAAAAATTGCATTCCCCAGAATATTCGCGACAATCAGATACCAATACAAGTACAATTCTTGTTGCAAGATGGACTTGAAATAAACATAATTACGCATTCTGCTGGATTGTTGGCTTGCTGTAGACTATTCCTGTATTAAACAGTCCGGTAATCTTGTTTGAAAACAAATTAAAACATGTTGGTATCTCCCACGGGAACATGTTTCTCCAATTACCCGTACTTGAAAAATACCCCAAATTTTTCCCAAATAATCCTTCCTGTTGAATCTAGCTTACTCAGCAAATATTAACCAGATTTGTGGTGATCAGTGAATAGCGCCATCTTTTGTTCACGTGCGAGCATGTTTGATGAATAAAGAGAGGAGTTGCGTTAACTTGACGCTTTGTGTTGTACGCGTTTCGTCAGTGTCTCACGAATGTGTAGATTTCTGCGTCAAACCTATTGTGGACGGTCCCGAATTAGGATTTTCTGACAGAGCATGACTTTGAGCGTCGTTTAATACCATAAACGATCGAATTGAACGATAACTCACGAAACGCGAGCGATGCTTTTAAGAATCTGACCAAATGTCCGGCCAAATGTTCACCACGCCGATAAATTGCGTCCATGGAATAGACACAGAAGACGGTCCGCGGGTCGTTTGCGAATTTACCGCTTGTTTATCTCAATGAGCATAGGTGTGCGTCGAACATTGAATCACCAACAAGTTAGTGTTGATGTGACTTAATAACTAATTCTCGCACGATTTAATCATAAACAATTGCTCTTACTTAGTATATGGGACTACGCCAAAACAGATGGTTTTATGGTGATAACTAAATATTCTGATAGCAAAAAAGAATTATTCAGAATTTATATGATGCCTGCGACAGTGTGTGGAACACTGTAAATTTTGCGGTTTATTGTACATATAGTACAATATTTTCCATGAAGTAGATGTCTTAGAAGATTTATATCAAGCAGTGTTTATGAACTTGAACTTAACTGACCTGTGACGTTGACCCAGAAGTCGACATCCTAACTTGGCTTGATATGACCTTGACCTTTGACCCCCGAATACAGTGAAAGTGCTGTTTTCCATTGTTTCAACTAGATGGAATGCCTGCAGTGGGCATCTGAACTATATATAGTAACTTTAATAACATTATATCTTACCATTGATGACTTTTACTATAATATTGATGGTGTATAGCCATCCAGTGAACATTGTGTCTCTTGTTTCAATACATTGTAGTATTCCTTTGCCCTGTGCCAAAGTGCAGGCACTCGAGTCATAGTTGTGTATAAGTGTTCCCTGGGATTTGGATATCAGTACAGTATTTTCCCTAGGTGTGATATATGTTACATGTTAATTGTGATCTACTATAGATTAATTATGCGTACCAGTATCTTAATTGTTGGACACTGATGGGTCGTTTTGGTGGCCCAGTTGATTTTTCCTGTGAACCTGGGAAAGGCGACTTTGCCTGTTGCCATTTATCTTGTTTCGGCCTCTTGGATGAATATTTTGGTTACATAATTTGCGCCGCTAAGGGGAGTAGTCGATTGGTTGCTATCGTCGGTAATCCTGAGATACAATTGTGGACAGTTGCGTGTTGTGCTCCTATTGACTTACTGTAGCCCAGAGTGAGAGTGATTTGATTAACTTTCATGTGTATAGTTGTATTGTATTCCAAGCTATTTTTCATTAACTTTTTGTAGAAGTGCATGTTTGGCAATTTATTTTTAGATTGGTGTAGTGAACTCACGTCACTTTGTAATTGGTAATTGGTGAACTGCAGGTGCAGCCCTATGTGATTATCACGATGGACAATGAAGGCAGCAAGGTAATTGATAGTGATAACCATGGGGGAACTCAAGTGAAAACTTCACCTGAGATACCTCTTAGGACCATGCCTGGGTTGGGAGGGGTGACACCTGGACTCCCTTTGATGACACATGAAGATATGTTAGATGATAGGTGTGGGGAAAGAACCCCTAGTCATTCTGGTAGTGAGGGTTATATTGGCAAATTGGCTAACGATGAGATGGAGTTACGTGAGAATGAACTGAGATTGGCCAAATGGAGTGCAAAGTTAAAAAGTTTGGAACAACACAATTTAGTACGTGAGCGTGAGTATGAACGCATGCAATTCCAGAGTAAG